TGAATGCCAGGAACAAGCGAAGGCAGACACCATTACACATAGCTGTGAACAAGGGACACCTGCAGGTGGTCAAGACCCTGCTGGACTTTGGCTGCCACCCGAGCCTTCAGGTACCTTACCCTGCAGCCTACTTACAAATGAGCAGAGTTCTCTTTGTGACACAGTAGAGAGAAGAGGGGTCGTCTGAGGCAGGGTTTGAATCACACATTAGTACTGGAGTAGTAAGTAACACAAGTTTCCCCTTTTAGGATTCAGAGGGGGACACACCCCTGCACGATGCCATAAGCAAGAAGAGAGACGACATGCTGTCAGTGCTGCTGGAGGCTGGGGCCGATGTCACCATCACCAACAATAACGGCTTCAATGCTTTGCATCACGCCGCACTGCGAGGGAACCCCAGGTATGAGACACTCACCCGCTCTCCCACTACTTGTCACACCTTTCGGGGGTCTACGAGGGACAGGGGCATGTTTAAGTGGAATCTGTGGAAACTTAAAGATCTCAATAAATGGCTGCTTAACGCTTTCAGTAGATTACATACAGACATGCTCTCAAAATAATATATATGTTAAGTGTCCAAACACGGTTTCTTTTTTTTTTTCATTATCAGAGCCCTTAATTTGAATAGACAATATAAATACTGATACTTACAGATTCTAGCCTTAAATAATAAAAGCGCACTAGACTAGTGTTACTTTGTGACTGTCATTCCAGAAATATGTTTCAGTACTCATGTCATGTTGTTTGGAGTATTTAGACTCGAGCATTCAATTATAATTCAAACTGATGCATAATTTGGTATCAAATATAGAGGCAAACTGAAACTGCTTTTACTCAAAGTCATTTCAGAGCATTATTATCATCAAACAATATTAAAACCTTTCGAGAATATGATTTAAAACTACGAGCACAAGACTATCCTGTTTAGTTTATTACCGGACCACTAATCTGTAACTACTAATCCGTAACTTAATCATCCTCTTGGTATGAAAGATGAGGACTCAGGTTTAAACAAGGAGACAAAATAGGTCCAGTCATTGACATAAACCGACACATTAGGATTAACTGGCATATGATCTTGATGAGAAATCAGAAGTGTATAAGCATGACACTTCAGACACTTTCTTGGGTATAAAAATATCCTTTTCTTGGTATCGCATAGTTGAATGTGTTCCAAGGCGTAACATAGCGTACAAATTACGTTTCAGTATTTACTGAACCCTAACCCTATGTAACGCATTACTTCAGTCATGTGTGATGTTCTTCTTAGAATTCTCTAATCGTCTTTTGCCGTAGTAAATCTAAAGTAAATGTACCAGTTTATGGGGATCATTTAAATTCTTCCACAGATTCCACTTAAATTTAAAAGTAGTTTTAAAGCCATTAAAACTAAATGATCACATTTCACCCTACTATGAAATGTACTCTGGGATTTCAATTTAGTCCGACATTGATTGAAGTTTGAAGCAGGCCTATAGGCTTCATCCAACTCCCCAACAGATGGTATGGTCTCAAATTGACATGAGACTACCTTTGAGGCCTTGAAAGCATCTGTCTTACTTTCTTAGTGTAGTTAATAGCCCTTGAAGTTCATTTGTTGTTTCTTTTTACTGTAATGCTGGTCTGTTGCCGTGTGTTGGGATGTGAGGCTGGCCTGAAGCGGGTCGCCTCGTCCTTGGCCGTCAGTGTTTCTGTGTGTTGGAGCTTACTGCTCCACTCTTTGGCTGCTTTATTCTTATCTCTCAACCATGAGCATATTAAAGATGGCTCAGCGAGATGGCGCTCTGGCTCAGGTCGATCATGCAGGGTCTCTTAAATTGATGGGCATCGATGCTACAGGGTCAGTGTTATAAACTGGAGCGGTTTCTAGGGAAAGTTAACAGCTGCATCCCGTGCTCAACGCTTTCAGTGTGTTCGCTTATGGTTGGTTGCATCTGAGCGTGGTTATCCCAGACTAAATGTCATTCCCCTTTGCTGGCATTCATTTGTTTGACATGAGGGCAAACTGTGGTCAGACGGCTGTGGAACACCTAATAGCATTTGTATTTAAAACAATAGTTTAAGAAAAGGGTGCTAAAAGAAATGAACAGCAACACAAAATGCACAAAGTATAAACATTAGTTCACAATGTGTTTTCTAATGTTTTTACCTTTTATAAAAGATACAGAACAAGTTTGCTCGATCCCTGAAATTGTTTAATTAAATGTAATTATATAGATAAGGGTCTATCTGATTAATCCATATCTTAAATCTTTTTCAAATCAAATGAGATAAATGACAACATTAAAAACACATAATTGAGCATATGGTCAGCAGTCGAGGTCTGACTTTGTAGTCCGTGAGAGAAAACATATTACAAGGCTGATGTGTTGAATTGTATTGCATAGCGTTTAAACTTTAATGAATAATACTAAAGTGATTTAGTAAGGGTCAGAGACTGGCAGAGTGTAAAGAAAATAGCTTGCAGTGCAAATATGGGTGTGTAATGTGTATATGTATACCAGCAGTCAGAATGTAGAGGAGCAGAAAGCTGCTCCGCTGTGGGACTCATTGATTTAGCGGCGAAAAAGTGCCGAAGCACAGCATTTTCTGTATCAGGGCTCCTGTTGTGTTTGTGTGTGCGTCGCTCGCTCGGGTCCGCGCTCTGTCCCCTTGCCTTCAGAGAAACGAAGATATATGTCGCCTTCTCCAGTCTGCCCATTTACTTTATTTCACGCTCGAGCTCCTGCAATATGGGAGAGACAGTCCACAAGTCCTAAAGCCCTCGAAAATCTCTCCCTAGGTTGAAATGAAAGCACCTTGTCTGGCGTGTTTTTAGTGGAAAGGCAGTTTTTTCGATTGAGCGCTTAAAGGAATTCCAACCATAGAATCGTATTTCAAAAAGGTGCATTTGACGACGGCCATGAGGTGGTGCTTGGAGTTGGAAGTTGATCGGAAGGCCATTGCATGAGGGATTTTATATGAAGCCCCTCTAGTAAATGATTGATGGTATTATTGCTTCCTGATAGAAGGTCCACGCCTCTTGTTTAGATTGAGCACTGAAACAGAATGCTCTGGCATACATTGCTTGAACAGATCATTTCAAATCAGAAATATTCCATTACAAAAAACAGGGGGGAACAAGTTACAGTGCGTCACAGTCCCTGGTGTGTGTGTGATGTGTCTTATGTGAGTGTTTTAAGAGCGCTGTTGGGTGTTCCAGCGGTGGACATAAGATTGAGGAAGACACAGAGGAAGAACCCTGTGGGGCATCGATTAATCTTTCAACCTGGTGTCCCAAATACACAAACAAATCAAGTGTACCAACTGGGGCGCTGCAGGAGCTGGGGAGTGTTGCTATATCTCACCTTGTTCATTACACACACACACACACACACACACACACACACACACACACACACACACACACACACACACACACACACACACACACACACACACACACACACACACACACACACACACACACACACACACACACACACCACTACAGAAGGTAAAGGCATGTCCTCCTAAATTAGACCTAGTTAAGTTTTTACAATTGCTACTAAAAATGAAAGCGCTGTTATAACCAGCAACGTGTCGGTTTTCTCGGACATCCACATTGTGTTTTCACCCCGTGTGTGTTTACTGCAGCACGAGCCTGCAAGGGGAGCCTGGCTCGTCTCTGTGTCTTTCCCCCGGGCTGCTAGATGCCAGTAGCTGCTACAATACTGTAAACAATACGATTAATAGCCCATGACTCATAACCGTCTCCAAACAAGCCCTGCAGCGGCCGTCTGTACCCTTTAACTGTCACCTCCCTGTAATATCCCCCCCTTCTCCTTCTCTAATACAGTGCTCAGCTTTTTCTTTTATAATGGCAACATATAGGAAAACCCCATATGGTAATCGAGCGCTCTGTAATCATTCACGCTGTGCTCCAAATTGCAGTATTCCCAATATAATGGCAGTGCTAATAGGCAGCAGCATAAGGGATATATTGTGACAGAATCGCAATTAGAAAATAGTTGTTGGTCCGCAGTGGCAAATCTGCAAAATGGGTCAAATGTTTGCTTTCTAGTGGCTCGCCGCTTTATGCACATGTTCTTCGTGGCTGCCATTGATTGAATTAGGAGTCTTTCACCCTCTCTCTTGCTCATTTCAGACTAGGCTAATCAAGTCAGACCAGCGTAATTGAGTAAGCTAGCGTCTTTTACATTACCCGAATAGATTTTATGGTTATTGGTCCAATGGAGAACACTTTACATTCAAAACAAATGGAGAATGGAGTGCTATTCAGTATGAATTAAATAAATAATTTGTAAATGCTCTACCCACATTCTCACATCAGTACGAGTGATGAGACCAATTCAAGCGTTCACATCAACTTCAAAACTAAATTCACTTTTTTTACTGAGTTTAACAAAAGGCCTGTTTGACATAGCGCTAAGCACCAAATTAGGAAGGGAAAATAAAGGGAGGGAGACGCAGTGTGACGGGAGTTTGGGTTAGATCTGCAGTAACAGCGACTGGATGTGTGAGACTGTAACCGTTTGTGAGCACTCTGTGATTTGTGCGTTTTAGTTCTTCTTGTCCTCTGAGCATCTGGCTCTCATCCACCCCAGCTTTTCCAACATCACTGCAGGACACTTCAGGGGGAAGGAGGCCAAGCGTTTTACATGTGTGTGTTGTGTGTAGTCTCTAAACAACTATATTTTCCCTTTCTCCCCTTTTATTCGCGATGGTATCCCTGCTGAGCTGCATTTGTTTTCTCCTCTATTTCTTCTCTTTTGCTTATTCCCACCCACAGTGTAATCGACTGTCAGACAGTCGCTTTAAGAGACGTCTTAGCGAGACAGCTGTACGGACATGTGAGTGCTGTGTTTTTGAAATAGCGCACGCTGCACATCCACCCCCTGCTATTTTTGAAGCAGCCATTGATAGTGTGGTCAGAATATCAATCCCGAGGCAGGAGACAGAGAGGTAACACGCAGAAAGGAAAGTGGGCCAAAGCAACATTTTGAAGCTGGTATTGGTTTCTTTATTATTGAAAAACAAGACATGACAATTACTGTACACTTTAGTTGTCGTTGGTAGAAGAAAGTCATCAGCTTGACGTGGCTCGCTGCCATTACAGTGACTGTGCTGAAGGCGTCCCAGCAGAAGGAGCTCCTGTAGTCTTCAAAGCATAGCTACAGCTGGTTGAAGGGGACCAAATCCTTTCAAGAGGTGATTTGGTTCCATTTTACCAGCTTTAGCAAAGCATTGTGGAATCACTGTTTCACGGACGGACATGGGAAGTGCTGTGGAGGGAAAGTGTCTCAAAGGCTCTGCTGCAATAGTTTTCAGTAGTATCAGAAAAAGGCCATGTTGCATTTTAACATCTTATTACAACCTGCGATGAGGGGTTGTCACACCATGTCTACCCACTGGTTGAAATGCTCATTCTCACTCTTTATTTCTTCTCCTGCCTGTTCACCTTCACCCACTCTGTGATATACATTACACTCAGCACACTACACGTTTCCCACCACACCGATAACACAGAGGCACAGTTGATCAACCTTACCTAACTTTCTCCTTTTCCGCCTCCCAGGCAGTCTATTTATCTTCCTCGATATCTTTTTCACTTTTATGCTCGCCCCCCCCTCCCGAGGGTGAGAAAAATTGTTCCCTGAGAAAAGGATAATAATAATCTGTGGAAGTGCACTTGAGTCAAATGTCCTGAAGTCATGAAGCAATTACAGGCTCTGACAGATGGGCCCTGCTCAGAGCACGTTGCCGCTGCGGTCACCGAGACGGCCAACAGACAAATGCAGAGGCATAACCACACACACACACACACACACACACACACACACACACACACACACACACACACACACACACACACACACACACACACACACACACACACACACACACACACGCTCCTACAGCAGCACTCTGGGGTGTCAAGTCACAACATTAATTTAAAGCAGTCATTTTAAGTCCTCGAGACTGATTTGTAGTGAAGACTTTGAACAGAAACTGAGGGCAGATTATTTTAGTTTCTTTCACGGCTCAGTAGTACAGTATTTTCCTCACAAGAAAAATCAGGACGTAAAGTACTTTGATTCAATTGTTGTCTATGTGTGCCAAAAGCTTAAGCTAGTTGTTATCACTCATTAGCTCAATATCAAACAGCTTCCATATTTTATTTATTTAGTTTGCACTAAGTTGCAGTTAAGTGACATTTATTTGGCCTTTTTTCAGCTTTCATTATCATTAATCGCAATAAGTGTTCCTTTGACACTATTTTGCAAGAGGAATATAAAACATAGCTCAGCTGTTATAATTATTGACTTTTCTGTCAAGGCCCGAATGAGGTTCTCCGAGTGCCACTGACAGCTGAGTGATATACGGCGCTGCTTGTAGACAGGATGGAGGTCAATGTAGGGCCAGCTTGATATGGCACACCAGAGGCAGGTCTATTTGTAACATACACATTCATAGTCACTCGCTTACACACACGCAGCGCCTCAGTCACTCAGAGTCAGGTGGCCAGGCAGCTCACCTCGTCTGAGGGCCATAACAGGGCAAAAGCAGGGACGACGACAGGCACTCAACATTTGATAATGTCAGCATCTGCTGTGTTTGTCACTCAGACAGCAGGCCGTTGCTATTGAGGGGCTGGGAGAAACACGCAGTGCAAAGCCAGGCACCCTGACACGCCTCAGATGTCTTGACAGAAAAGAGAGCTAGACAGGATATCATGACAAACAGATGGTCCTGAATATTGGACATACATTTAAAGAATTAAGGTTAAAAAAAAAAAACAGCTTAATTCTGATGTTCAGATTTTTTATATTAGAGATGGCCTTCTTTGTAAAGATGAATAGGTTACTTTTGTCAGTACACTTGGTGAACAATTAAGATTGTAGGTGTTGTTATCAGTTATGTCCAATCAGCTTAGATAGTTCCTTCGTTGAAGGGAAATGGAGTAAGTCAGCCCTCTGCTTGGCATATTAATCAGCTCAGATCAAGTGCATTGTATTTCATTAAAACAGAGCTGTCGTACGTAAACCGTACCGTTGCTCTACTGCGGGAGAAATGTTGTAGGCACTAATACTTCCCAGCCACATTTGAATGATGAAGCAATTTAAATACAAGTGTAGTATTTGTATATTTATACTAGGTTTTTTTGAGCCAGTCATTATCAGATTTCTCATCGTTATTTATAATCTTTCTGTATGGATTTTCAAACTAGAGCCAAAATACAGTGGAGAGAAATACCTTTAGAGAGCTTTGTATCTAACTCAAAAGGGTTTAAAGAGAGGTAAACCTGTGCTAAACCTGGCACAGGGATCGTCTATGATCCGAGCACAGGCCAGAGAGGGGGTCAGAATAGGTGAAAGTGCTAGATATGAATAGCTCTCCATGCAAACGACTACCCCCCCCTCGCTGCATTTCTCTCTGTGCCTCTGTCCATATTCTGTTGCCTTTTATTTGTTTGAAGCGGTCAACAATTGGAACCAGCTGACGGGCCAGAGTTGACTCTGATCCTGCATTGTCACTTTTCGATGGTCTAATCTGACTGCCATGCAGCCCAGCAAAGCATTTGGCAAGCATAGCAAACGTGAACAATGAGAGCAGGAATCAGAGAGAGGGAGGGGAGCGCGGGGCAGCCGGGTTGATGTGGGGTGGGGGCATAAAGGCAGGGCAGTCATAGTTAAACACACAAGATAGTTAACACGGAAGCCATATGATACAGCAGTAGGATAGAGCCGGCTCGGGCAGCAACGTTAGTCTCTCTTCTGCCTCCTCAGCAACTATTTCTTTCCCTTTTTTAGTTGCATAGTATAAAAAACGCCAGCAACGATGGCGGAGTTTTGGTCCTATACCCCTTTTGCTTTCTCTTTCCCCTAGAGCCCTGTGGGCGCACTGGATAAGATTATGGTATTAATGGTCAGAAGCAGCTCCAGCTTACCTCTCATTGCTCGCCAAAGTTGGTTCTAAGTTGCAGCTGGCTGAATTTCAAGGGGCTGTAATGCAGTAAAATCACCCAATAATGAAAGGAGGCCCTGTTCATATGGCAATGTCACAAGGCGACTTTTTGCCCATAGTTGTGGTGTAGTCAAATTGTGAACAGAGAAAGCTCAAAACATGATTGCTATCAATACATGCTATCTTATTTAGTTGTCCAATTAATTGTTGGTATATCTTGGATGAGAGGTTCTTATTGGCCAAGTGAGCCAGTTTTAGCAAGCAGCAAGTTCCCTACAGCGAATATTGCTGCAGTGAGACTGCCCAGAGACAGTATAGCTAATGTATGAGCCTTACCACTCACATCCATACTCTCTTTTTCTCTCCCTCTCTCCGGCTGCTGTTTTCTCTCACACTATGATCACAGTCGTATTAACAATCTTGAACACGCAAACAAATCCTCAGACACTGCTGTCCAATGTCATTTTCACAGATCGAGGACAAGCACCCCACTAAGAATACATACTTCTTTACATTCCATAGCTATCATATGTTCATATGGGTACATAAAGAAGTATGTACACCAAGGAGGTAATCTTAGGTATGAAATTGTCTCACCTTTCGCCAAGGTCAGGAAGTTATGAGCAGAACATTTTCCTCACCGTTTTCTCTCCCAAGTATGGTAGTGTGCACTGTAAGGTGACTTTGAGTGTACATGCAGTTCAAGGCTTTCCTTTGGTTGCCATGTAAGGCTGAGCTCCCAGTCCCCCCGCCCCTGAACATAACAGAAGTTTTGCAGTCCATACCATGGCTGACTGTCCCGGTGACCCCCGCTGTCCTCCAGAAAACTGTGAGAATCCAGGAGGATTAAGGAGTGGAATACAGCTCCCTTTTTTTTTTTACTGCAGTTTGAAGGTGGTCTTTTTCTCTTTCCAGGAAAAATGTTGAGGAGGTAGATTAAGAGGTTGGTGAAAAAAGGCAGCGAAGATAGGACGAGCTTTCCCTTGATGGACAGTCCATGGTATGAGGTGCCCCTGCGTGCACCTCGTCTTGTAGGATGATCATCTGCTGTGGACCGTGAGTCCTGGGAGCAGGGGTGCACCTATAAGCTGATTGGCCCCGCTGACACACGAAACATTTCCCCTTCTCTCCTCCCACTCCTCTTTCAGCCTGCCTCCCTCACCGCCATGTCGTTCTCCTATTTCAACCCCCACTTTCTATATCCCCTCTCCTCTCCTACCTCTCACTTTGACCAATATGTGGCTCTTCCCTGTCCCCCCCCCCGTCTCTCTTGTGTCAGCAACGTCCCCAGTGGGAGCGCTTGCTGATGTTTGAAAACGAGGGTGATCCAAGTGGAACAGGAAGCTTTTGTGAGCAGGATTTGGGCTTTAGGCGCAGAGGCAGGCCATAGGTCACATGAAGGCGCTAATGCCCACTCAGCACTTGTGGATTGGTTCTGGCTATGCCCCCACCCACCACCCCCACCCCCCCTTTTCTCTGTACCGTGTTCTCTGTCTTTTCACACATAGATCACTATTTTTATCGTCATCTTCTCGCTTCCTATTTCCTCTGATCCAACCTCACCTGTCTGTGTTTTTACAGAGACACCTGCTGTTCTGTTGCAATGGGGGTGGAACAGATCAATAATGATTTGCATGGTCACGAGAATTGTTCAGCAAGTCTCTAATGAATCTTTGCCCCAGACCAACACATTCCACAAGTTGACACTGCCTGCAACCACACTTAGCTGGCCAGCAGAAAAGGTGCTGAGGCAATGGGTGTAAAACAGAAAATAGATTAGGGAAGACTATTTTAGATTGGGGACTTTTGGTTACTGGACGACAACTGGGTAATTGGGAAAATTGCTGCAATGTATTTGCAGTAGAAGGGTTTTTAATAGGTTGAACTGAAGGCAATAGTTGGTGGATGAGCCCGGTCCTAAAGGTGTGACGTCCTGTTTAGGAAATGTCACAGCCACCCGAGAGGGTGAGCAAATAGGAGAGGGGGGGGGGGGTGAAATTCCTTCCTACATACAGCGGGGTGAAGGTTGGGGAACGTGAATTAGCCCTCTGCTTGTTGCCTGTTCTGGTGTGGGCGATAGCACTGCAGCACTGTGTGCCCTGCATGCCCTGCCGAGGCTATAGCCATCCGTTACACCGGGAGACAAGAAACTGGGTTACTAGCCTTAGTGCTGTGGGTCCAGCCGGTGACACACATCTACTCAACCAACACACATTGCTGCCCAATATCCCCTCCTGCTCATCCTCACCTCCACCCCCCCTCACATCTGTGTTAATACACTTCTCACAGCTGTGTGCTGTCAATCCGCTTTTCTCCCTGTTCAGCACTCCTGACCTGCCCGCTGTTCATTATTCTGATGCTTCGTCATCCCTCTGGTCGCCACATTTCCATCCTTCCGCCCCAATCGGCCAACCTTGGACTCAAAAAGTGTGACGCGTCCTCAAACTTACCTCCCATCAATCAAGAACGCCAGTGACCTCCCCCGCCCCACTATTAAATTGAAAAGTGATCTTAAAAAAAAAAAGCTATTTAAAAAAAAAGACAAAAATATTGTGCATTAAAAGTCCTGGTGTATATATAGTATCCTTGATGGTGACAAAAGCATCTTGGAAGGTGTCGGACGCAGAGGGCGAATTGTTCCTAAGGGAATTTCTCTCCACACCAGTCCAGGTCTGAGTTAACGAGTCCGTCATTAGATAGCGGCAGGGCTGCAACCATGAAGCCTAATGAGCCAAAGAGCTCTGCTGCTGCAGCATGTCCGGCCAGTGCCAGGAACACAAGAGAGAGAGAGAGAGGGGGGGGGGGGGGGAAAGAGTGCAAGACTGCAAGACAAGAGAGAGGGAGGGAGGGAGAAAGAACAAGATGAGAGAGATAGAGTGGAGAGTGCAAAAAAACAGGGCTAAAATCCATGTGGACCATAGCAACTCCCCATCCTCCTTTTCCCTCCTCCACCTCCTCCTGCATCCTCTCCATACTCCCCCCCCCCCCCCCCCCCTTTTTTTTTTTTTATAAAGCCTTTAATTCTTTCCTTCTCTTAAGACAAGAGAGGAGAAAAAGGTGGTCTCTGGTTAAGTTCTGTCCCAGTGCTGCTGCATTCCACTCCCCCTTACGACTACGCGACTCACAGGCAAACCATGCGGTTAATAACTGATCGCATCCAAAGAGGAGAGAGGGAAGAGGCAGGACAGGAGACATCGAGGCCCGTCGGGGGTAAACTCCGTCCGAACGCGAAGGAAGAGCATATATTACCTGTCGGATCAGTTTCTTATCTGAGCTGATCCTTCTCTCTCCCCCTCCTCTCCTCCTCTTCCCGTAGTGAAGAGAGGCATAATGACCTAGAGAGCGCTCCAGCTGCTGCAGCCATCGTGTGTGCCGGGTGCACGCCTGACTCGCTGAATCAGCTTCTATGATTGGGGGGAGGAGGAGGAGGAGGAGGAGGAGGAGGAAGGGTGGTGGTGGCGGGCGGGTTGAGTGCCAGAGTCAGTGAGGGGAGGAGGGGGGGAAAAGGACACACACACACACACATGCACACACATTCCCATACAACCACAAGTCATACCTATAGAAGAGGAAGACGTGGGACTGACATGAAGAGCTGCCATTTGAAGAAAAAAAAAAGGGGAGGCAGAGAGAGAAGAGGGGGGAAAGGGTGGGGGGGGAAACTGCAGCACTCTCCTCTCCATCATGTGCATTCTGAGGGAGAGAGCTGGGAGGATGCCCTGGTCGTTTGGAGGAGGCAGAACGTGTACCTACCGTCCTCCCACCTTGCCTTCTTCCGGTTCCATCGACACACACACAGACCCAGAGCTTCATTCTGCTCTTAAAATGTGCTTTTATTATTCAGTGGAACTTTATACAGTGGCTAAGAACAGCGACTTTACTGAATGTTTTAGAGCAGAATTGTGATTGAGGTGGCTGTGCCTCTGCACTAGAAGACAGCTGTACTTTTAAAAGTCCCTTGCGAGACATGCAGATTTGATTACCAATGTCGGAGACTAATATCCTGTTGGAATGTTTCTTTTGTGAGTCTTTAAGAGATGGACTTTTATTAATCCCTCGTGGGGAAATTGTTTCAGCTATGCTGCAGTATGCAGCTTCTAGATTGTGCATCTCCAGGGGTGACCTTTTTCACTTGGATAAGATCAAGTGGAGATGCTGCTGCAGTTAAGAGGGCAGGGAGAACACGGTGGCAGCAAATTAGGGACACGAGGTCAACCGGCCCCCCGCCCCACAGAAAGCAGCTCAACGGTTAGCACTTTGTGGGAAGCCAAGCATTTGAAGCATGCCTCGGCCCCTGTTGCCGGGCTGCTCCTGTGTCTTGTCTCACCACCTCCCTGACCATATTTAGTCAAGCAGTGCAAAAAATAGTTCCCTGCTCCGCTCCACTCCACTCTGCTCTTCTCCTTGCCTCACCCCTCCTCCCATGTCCCCTCCCCCCCTCAGCGACTGTTGGCTACCGGCTCCGGGAAGCCTCCCTTACGGCTCCCTGCCTATCGATTCCACCGGCCTGCAAGGAGAGAGCAGCGTTAGGCCAGCTAGCCCCGGCTACCATTTGCTGCGCTATTTTTAGTAGCTCCAAATAAAGTGGTCTCTCGTGCTTCCACTTGTATATTCTTGATCCCCCCCCCCCCCTCCTCCACCTTCCCCTGCTTTACATCCTTCACCACCAACTCTACCGCCTCCTCTGATACCACCCCCTTCACTCTCTGTGTCCCTTCGACCCCCCCCCGCAGTCCCTATCATTCTTATTTTAAAATAGAGCTGCAACACACTGCTTATGGTAGAGCTTCCGTCTGCTCACCTCTATACTTAGAAGAACTGCGCACCCGAGTAATGGAGAAAGGGAAAGGGTAAACGTGTAGCGCGGAGGGTGTGAGACAGCAGGACATATTGCTGTGTTTTCCCGTTCATTTATTTATACTGCTTTTGGCAATGCAGGCCAAGTGGCAAATTCACCTCTGACGCACTGAAAAGTTGTGGCTGCTCTCCCTCTCTCCTTTTTGAGCTCCCATTAATTTTCAAGTGTCTTTTTCGAGCTTTCCCGAGGCGCGGCCTCTGAAGAATCTGTTTAATTAGTTGGTCTCATCACGGGGCACATCTATACCGTACGCAAGCAATGTCCTCTGTGCCCTCCTGTCTTTTTCAGACTCGTCTTCTCTCCTCTTATGCCTCAATGACAGCTCACGCACTTACTTACCCCTCCTGCATTTTAACCGCAGAGTGCCCCAAGAGGTGGAAGCTATTTTTCTTTTTCTTTAAGGTAATCGTATGGAAACCAGACTGTGTATTTTCACAATCACATTCATTACAAGTAAAATGCCACAAACACCCTCAATACACCATGATCATTCGTCAAAGTGTATTTTCATGAGCCAGAAAAAATGTCCTGCGATTCTCTGCTACTTTATTTGATAAGCCTTTTAACAGGCTCCCAGTCATTCAGCACTCACTCGCAGTTAAATCTCCTTTTTCATGGCGTAGATAATACCGCATAGATTTAAGTGTGCAATTTAATTAATGTATTGTCACTGCAATTTATAGCTTTTCGATTACATCATCTTTACGGCTGTTACAAAAATTGACCATTCACGAGTCAAAATGGATTCCCGAGCTAATGTGTCTGCTCAGAACTTGACCTTACATGTCCAATGTAAAAGGCTGAATTGCAGCTTTATGAATGGCAACTGTGCCTGTCCACCTGTTACTGCCCTACAGACTCTATGTTTACACACCACTCCAAATTGAGTGTCCCCTCCATAGGGAACTTTCCATCTACTACATGTTAATTCACACACAGTACTTACTGTACATGTGCGTTTCAACTTGATGTTGTGCATTAATCCCCTTCTATCTCCACCAACGACACCCTTGTGTGTTTTGTGTATCCCCCTCAGCGGGTCTCCACCCTGCCTGTTCCAGCCACCCAACCCACCAGTTTAATCTCAATTACGTCCCAACATCCCATCTGCATCCGAAACTAAGCAGCATGGCTTACATCTTCCCACCATGATGAATAGCACGGGCTGAATGTTTAGCTGAGCAGT